GTGGAATATATGTATTCTGTACTTGTGCATTTATATATGATTATGTGCTTTGATTATTATGGTAATATTTCTCACCCTTCTGCTGGAATGATGTCCTATATGACATCATGCAGGTATCTTGGAGTTGTACTGCTAGTAGTTGTGAGGTCTCTGCTGGTGCAGTTGTTTAGTATTTTAATTATGTTGGTTCGAGTCATGCTCTGGTTATGTAACACTGGGATCGTTGGGTTTATGCCTTAGAGATATATTATGTATTCTAAGTTGTGTTTTAAATGTATTTGAAATATTATGATAATGGCCTCTGTGCCTAAGTGTTGATGATTATGTGATGAACACGAATGTTCTATGAAGAGATTTATGTAAATAAATTGAATCTGTTGCTACATGCAAGATGAAAATTTAATAGCATGACTATTTATTTCAATGTTACATGAGTATGACAGGTGAATGTTGAGATTTGTAAATTGTGTGACGCCCTTTTGTGAAAGCATGTTAATTTACTCTGATTAATTATGTATTTTTATGTGGGGTTAGAAGGGTGTTACACTTAGACTTCTCCACGCTCGATTGCTCCTCTAACGAAATGCAACCTCACATCAATGTGCTTGGTTCGCTCATGATAGGCTGAATTCTTCGACAGGTGTATTTCATTTTGACTATCACATTTAACAGTGATAACTCGACCTTGAAGTTTCAGCTCCTTTGCAAAACCTTGAAACCACAATGCTTCCTTCACAGCTTCAGTTAGGGCGATATATTTCGCTTCAGTAGTTGTTAAGGCAACAACCTTCTAAAGTGTTTCTTTTCAACTGATTGGTGTGTCAGACATAGTGAACACATATCCAGAAATAGATTTTCTGGAACCCATGCAGCCTGAATAATCAGAGTCGACATATCCTTTGATTGCTGATTTACTATCTTCACCCAAGGTTCCACCATAAATTAGAACTCCCAGAAACCCGTTTATATACCTTAGAATCCACTTCAATACTTGTCAGTGAGCCTTTCCAGAATTTGCCATGTATCTGCTTACAAGACTTACTACATATCTTATGTCCGGTCTAGTACATACCATAACATACATCAAAGAACCCACTATATTAGCATATGAAATGTTATTCATATAAGCTCTTTCAACATCAGTATTGGGTCACTGGTTTATACTCAGCTTGATTTTAGGGTTTGTTGGAATCACAACAGGCTTTGAATTCAACATATCAAAAAAAATTTAGAATCTTTCATAGGTATGTCTCTTGAGATAAGCATAATTTCAACTACTTTCTATCTCTACGGATGTCAATCCCAAGAATCCTGGACGCAGCTCCTAGACCCTTCATGTCGAACTCCTTATTGAGTTTAGCCTTCACCCTCATTACATCTTCGATATTGTTGTTTGCTATTAGAATATCATCCACATAAAGCAACAACATAACAAATGAATTACCAGGTCAAAATCTGAAGTAAGCACGGTGGTCGAATTGACTTCTAATGAAACTTATGTGTGCCATGAACTTGTTGAATCTCCTATTCCACTATCGAGGAGATTGTTTCAGTCCATATAAAAATCTCTTCAGCTTGCACACATAATCTTCCTTCCCCCTTTCGACATACCCTTCAGGTTGCCTCATCAAGATTGTTTCATCTAGATCACCATATAAGAACGCAATCTTCATATCCATTTGTTTTAGTTCAAGGCCAAATTGTAACACCGTGGTAAGCAACATTCGAATGGGCATGTGCTTCACAACAGGAGAGAACACATCATTGAAGTCGACGCCTTATTTCTGAGTGAAACTCCTAGCGACCAACCTTGTATCTCCTCAACGTCACTCCTTCGGTTCTTTCCTTAACTTTGAAAATCCACTTACAGCTGACTGACCTAACTCCAACAGGTTTCTTGATCAGTTCTCACGTGTCGTTATCATGAAGAGATTTCATCTCATCACCCATGGCATCCATTCAGTCTTCTTTCGACTCCTCATAACTTTCTTATAGTCTCTAGGTTTTTTGTCTAGAACCTCACTTCTAGAGATTAAGGCATAAGCTATAAGATCTATATACCTAAGTCTCTGAGGTTGCTTGATGACTTTCCTCGACCTGTCTCTTGCTAGCAGGTAGTCATTATCAGTCTCCTCATCTTCGACAGCAGCTTATGCTTCTTTTTCGACTTCATCTGGAATACGCAATTCAGCATCAACATGGTTTATCATTTGTAAAGTGGATAAAAAAACATGGTTTATCATGATCCTCTCTTCATCCACGTTATGCAAAACAACAAGTTATGTCAATATATGAGATACAAAACAAGTGCTTTATAGTTTATATTATCAAGGTTTCTCGCCCAAAACAAAAAGTTATGTCAATATATAAGATACAACTTTTTTTTTCTATTTGTTTATTTTATTAATAAATAGAGCACGTATTTAGCCTATAAAGACCATCCTCAAAACTGACAAGAAAAACACATACTTCTTGTTGGAGCAACAATCGAATACCCATTTCCAACCAGAGAGAATGGCTAAACTCATGGGATATGAGTTTCACATATATCATAAAGGAGTTACAAATGTTACCGCATATGCCTTATCAAAGAAGTTAGGATCAGAGTTATTGACTCTCCTGTTGAGTAATACACAAGAGGATTTATTAGAAAAAATTAAGGCTTCCTTGTGTCAAGACTCATATTTTCATTCATTAAATCAAGAATTGTAGCAGGATACTAAATTTCATCCTAAATTCAATTGGTGTAAAGATGAGTTCAAAAGGAAAGGAAATTTATTAATTGGGTCATATCTTATTTTTGAGAAATTTATTTTAAGATGCCTTCATGATTCACCATCTGGTGGTCATTGCGAAAGAGATGTCATTGCTGCAAGAATAAAGTCACTTTTCTTTTGGAAGGGGATGAACAAATACATCCAATATTATGTTAGGACTTGTGATGTTTGTCAGCAATGTAAACCTGATCTTGCTGCTTCTCAAGGGTTGTTACAGTCACTTCCCATCCCTAATTGTATATGGGATTCCATAAGCTTGAAATATGGAAAATTTTCCCACTTACTTATTTGAGATGCATGTGTGGTGATAAACCTTCTTCTTATTGTTGGTGGTTAGCCCTTGTTCAATGGTGGTATATAGCCAACCTCCTCCCATTTATCTTCCTTGCTTACCAAGGGAGAGTACTACTATAGGAGTGGACAGGTTAATAAATGCTAGAGAGGCTATGACTCAATTGCTCAAGTTTCACTTATTAAGGGCTTAAAGTAGGATGGTGCAGCAAGTTAACAAACCTCATAAGGACAGACTACGTAAGTATGCTCACTTCTTGACTTTATTTCACCCTTACACCAGTTTGGATGTTGCACAATTATTCCTTGATCATGTCTTCAAAAAGCATGGTATGCCTAGCACCATTATCGGCGATAGGGATTCAATTTCTCATAGTAATTTTGAAATGAACTCTTGCAATTGAAGAAAGTATCACTTAAAAAATCTACAGCTACCAGCCTCAAATTGAACGTGAAACCGTGGTAAGCAAATGTCTTTAAACTTGTACTACTTGCTAAAAGTACACTACACTACGTGACAACCCTTACAACCCATAGTGATTAAGAGATGTCTGAGGCTTTTAGAATTTTTTGTAAAGCTAGAGCTAGCTCCAACAGGTAGGTGAGAAGCAGGTGAAAAGCTCTATATATGAGATATCTACGTGAATGAGGGATCCACCTTCCCAACTTCTGGATTGGGGTATTTATAGAAGTTTTTGGACCTGAATTCCATATGTTTGGAGTTTGAAGATGTATCTTCGAATTCTAAAGGTATTTTTTATTTTTCAAGATGGCGTGGTAGTAATTCTTATGGTGTGGTAATAATTCTTATGGTGCGTTAATAATTCCCTTTTCTTTTACTAACAAGATTTGTTAGGTCTAACCATTATTTGTAATCCCTTCTCTTGAAAAACGCTTATAAAAGATACAGAAATGGATACTAATTAATAATTTCTAAACAAAATATAATTCCAGTGTCGATAATAAAATTACTATTACTACTTTGAAAGCATACAAAATTCAAAAGAATTAGCCTACCACTGATAACAATATGCTAGAACTAGGGCTGGAAATGAGTCGAGTCGAGTCGAACTCACCTCAGCTCGGCTCGACTCGTTAAGAATTGTTCGAATTCGAGTTCGAGTTCGAGTTCGACACGAACTTTTTTTTAAGCTCAAACTCGACTCGTTATAAGTTCACGAACAGTTCGGTTCGACTCGTTAGGTTCATCTCATTAGGTTCAGCTCACATGGTTCACGAACTTAAAAACTATTTTTTAAATATATATATTTTTTAGTATATTTGACATTTTAAATAAATATATATTTTTAAATAAAATATTAAAATAAAATAAAAGTTATCATATTGAAATTTAACTTTATCTTCGAAATCTACTAATTCAAAAGCTACACAACTTTCAAGAGATACATTTGAGAGTCTAATTCAAAAACTACTAAATTGAAGATTAAATTTGTCTAAGATTTGAAGTAAATATTTAAACCTAATCTTAAAGATAGTATAATTATTTTCATATGTAATCGAGTTGACTCATGAACCTAACGAGTCGAACTATGTATAGTTCATGTTCAGCTCATTTAGTTAACGAACTTAATTTTTCGCTCATACTCAACTCATTTGGTTCATGAACCTAGTTCAACGATTTAATTGTCGAGTCGAATTCTGAACTATCTTCGAGTTGGTTTGGTTCATTGTCAGCCCTAGCTAGAACCTACTATCAAACTAATGTTAACAGACAGATTTACATATTTCTTTCCTTACCTTGATATAAATGGCAAATAACTGCTTATGGCATGACAAATCCACCCTGCAAAAATCACAACAGTTGTTGCAGCCTATGACAGCTGCCATAAACTCCGCTATGCCATAGCGCACACAAATTCGACTATGCAATAACCCCATAGAATAGTTCTTCACTGCATTTTGACAAAACTATTAGAAGTTAATTTCCCGTCTCTCGGCAAAAAAACGTCCAATAACTGTTTGATCATGCAGAAGGGCAAGCCATACTCCAGTATCAGCACCTTCCTCAACAGTATTGTTCCCTGCAAAACCTGTGAGAGCCGTCTTCACCCAACCCGGGCAATAGCAGTTAATATAAATCTTTTGACCTTCTGGTCGCTCCGAAAGCTTCCTTGCCATAAGCCTTGTATAAGCATTAACTGCAAGTTTCGACAGTGAGTAATCAGTATATATTTGAGGCCACCCACCTGATGTCCAACTTCCATCTTCTACTTGTTGTAAAAATTCAGATAGAGTTCTGTCAATCAGTTCCACTGAAAGAACCTCGACATCACTCAGTTGTTCTCTCAATTCTACATTGCTGATTCTCTGTAATCAAGCAACACATTATCGGTTTTACATTTTGCACAAGTTATATAACGCAAAACAAGGTAAAAAATACTCTTTTTTCTACAAAGAGTAAAAAAATACTTACATTTCGTCTTCCATTAAGTCGACCTAGACGGGAGCTTGTATTTACAATTCGAGCACCAACAACAGATGGTTTCATCAACGGAATAAGGGCTTCAGTCAAATTTTTAATGCCATAATAATTTGTTTTGATAACCTTGTAAGCATTTTCAACAGAGTTATCAGACCCAAGATTGAAATTAACACCAGCATTGTTTACCTGCCATAGATGATGGAGATTAGAAGCATAAAATAAAGAAATGTGTTAAACTACAATCTAGAACATACATACATGTAACATTTAATCAATTATTTTCTTCGTTTAATTCCATATTCACAATTTTTAGATCAAAAATGGATAAAACTCTTGCATAGATTCCAACCGCATATGCTAATTCAATTAAAATCACATTTTAGAAACTTACCAGAATATCTAAACCACCGTAACTTTCTTTCAACCACTCAACGAATTGGTTGATGGATGAATCGTCGACTATGTCAAGTTGATGGTAAACCACGTCCAAACCACCTTCTTGCAAAGCCTTAACTGATTCAGCACCAGCATTAGCATCTCTTGATGTGAGTACAACAGTCAATCCATGAGAAGCAAGTTGCCTGCAAATCTCAAACCCAATTCCTCTGTTTCCGCCGGTAACCACAGCTATCGTTTCCTTCGACCACCACCTATATATACACAGAATAACAAAAAAAATCAGAACAAATTACATCAAAGAGTGCTTTACAATTCTATAAGCAATGTGTGATTACAGAGTGAGTACCAAAAGTTATTACATAATCACTTATACCAAAAAAAACAAGAGGGTTTTTTGACAGGAATCATGATAAATCTAAACAAGAGAAGAGAATTGCAAGGTAATTGAATAAATAGAGGGAAATTGGATTGATACCTTTGGTCATCTGAATAAGGAATGGACCTTAAAAGCTGTATCTCTTGCAATCTCTTTTCTCTTCGTTCTTTGGCTTTCTCGTTCTTTTCCTTCTTGCCCATTTCGATTCAACGGCTTTGGCCACTATTCACTCGAGAATTAGAGTTGGCGCTGCTGCAAGTGTGGCCGCGCCTGGAAAACCATATTCATGAATGTAAGTTTTCGCATTCGATTAAATATGGGTTAAATACCATTTTTTTTCTCTTATTTGACTTTTTAATTTTTAGAAACATCATTTTGATCTTTTAACTCACATAATCATTTGCGTCTAAGGCTGTGTTTGTTTTCGCGGTGGAATTAAAGGAAAGTGTAAATCAAGCACAGACAAAATGTAGTTTTTTTAATTTTACGGTGGGATACCCTTCAAACGTGGGTTTGGTGGCTGAAACGCCAAACCAAACATGCACTAAATCTCATTAATAGTATTATTTTTTTCTTGATGCGGTAAATGAGAGTAAGATTAAATTTTTGTGACTAATTTAACGACTAAAAAATTTATCTTAAAAGAGATTTTCTGAATTCTTTTATTGACAAAGAGGATGTTTTTATGGATTCCTTACATGATCGTCGATAGGAACATGACTTCTCCGAGGTCCGCTAAAATTGTGGTGAGGAGTTTGTTGCCTCTTTCTTTTCTGTTTTGGAGAACTCGAAATCATCGTGACGTGGTCGACTTGGGAACGATTATTTGATTTCTCTTATATGTGTCCTCTTGCACCGTGTTGCATACAGGATTCACGTGGTGGAGACTTTATTCTAGACGAAGTAATATTTCCTCTATCGCATACAAGTTTTATTGTCGAAGGATGTTGTACATACTCTTCAGAAATTCTTTTATGCCATGTCCTTTGAAACTCCCTTGAAACAACAAGAAACCAGATAGTGTTTTTGGTTTAGGTAGCGTTGATGGTACAAAAGGTCTGAGTGAAGGTTCTCCCTATTGGACTTGTGGAACATATCCATTGATTAGTGAAAGGTTGGAGGAGATTTGTACACGGTGAAGCGTTTTGTGCGACTTGATTTACATCACCTTAAGGAGGAAGAGGCAGAGGATCTCTTGCATCTTGAGCAGACGTGGAAAAAGCAGAAATTAGAAATTGATTCCCACAACGGTGTCAATGTTCCGTTATAGAACCAGAATTAATCGGAGAACAAAGGTTACGGTTGCAACAGTGGAGCTGAGCTTCTGCTGCGGTGAAGGAGAGGCTGATCTGCAAGGTTAGCACTCTAACGCTTAAGTTAATATGTGAGGTAGATGAGTGAATAAAGTTTTAAATTAAAATTGTGTCCTCTGAATTGGCATGTGTGCTCTTTATATAGTGGATCGATTATATTAACCTATTATCTTTAAGACGTGAAATATGAGAAGTTGTTGAATGTATCTTAGCCCTAAATCTCTTGCACTCTTCCCTAAAATAATACGCATACGTTGTAAGCAATTTTCAGACAAATCATTACTTTCCATAGGTCAGGCCTACTTACTCTTCTAGTATGGCCAAAACAAAATAATAATAATAATAATAATAATAATAATAATAATAATAATAATAATAATAATAATAATAATAGTTGTTGTTGTAAATGTGCCTTAAAACTTTTGTTGATGAAGAGAAAAAAAAAGCATATTTTGGAGATTGCATTTACCGCGAAAATCGAAAGTTTTAGAAAGTCGGACGAAAAGTCGAAAAAGAGAAAAAAAAAATCGGTCTGTGAATAGTGTCTTCCATACGGTGAATAGTGGTATCCATATGGTGAATAGTGATTTTGTGTTTTCGGGCTTTTTTTGATTCGGTTCATGGATCCATGTGATTTTGGGCTTTGTTTGTTGGGTATTTGCTATTATAAATATGTATCTCTTATATGTTTGGTGTGTGACAATCTTAGAGTTTTCACTAACAAGGACGACCAAGGATTTAAAGGTATAGCATAGAGTTTCAACGATGCACAAAGAAAATAGGGTTGTTCTTGGACGCCTTCAGGGTTGTTCTTGGGAACCTAAAGGCGAAGGCTGTTTTATATGTAATCTTTTGTAATAATTTTTTGAGTATAGTGAATTAGAGAGTTTCTCTCTCCCCCAAAGTAGATCGTTTGATCGAACTGGGTAAACAAACCTTCGATTTTTTTCTTGCCTTATTTTGTTATTTTATCTGTGTACGGATTATTATTGTTGAAGATCATTTATTTTGATTTTTATTGTTCTTTGTCTCACAAATTATATTCAATTTTATCGTAATTCACAACAAGTGGTGTGGTGAGCGTGAAACAGAGAGATATTATTGACAAGTAAACACCATGGTTAGTAGATGACAGATCGGGAAATTTTGTAGTAACAACGACTTCGGGTTGTGGAAAATTAAGATGCAAGAAATTTTAATTCAAGAGAAGTGTATCGATGCCTTGAAGAGTGAAGCATTGATGCTTGCAGGGCTTACACAGGTACAGAAGACTGACACGGTGGATAAGGCAAGGAGTGTCACTTTCTTGTGCCTCGGGGATAAAGTTCTAAGAGAAGTCGCCAGTGAGAAAACTGTGGTTGCTATGTGGGCAAAACTTGAATCATTGTATATGACAAAGTCTTTGGCTCACAGGTTGTATCTGAAACAACAACTTTATTCATTCTGAATGGTGGAGAATAAATCCATAGTTGAGCAGCTCATAAAATTTCACAAGATTATCAATGATCTTGAGAATATTGAAGTGAAAATTGATGATGAGGACAAGGCTTTACTCCTATTGAGTTTATTACCCAGATTCTTTGAGCACTTTAAGGATGTCTTTCTTTATGGTAAGGAAGGTACTATTACTTTGGATGAAGTCCATACGACGGTGAAATCCAAATAATTTTCAAATTCGAAAGATTTGAATATTGAAGATAGTGGTGAAGGCTTAAATGTGTCAAGAGGAGGAGGTGAGCGTAAAGGGATGTCCAAATCAAAGAGGTATGACAAGTCAAAGGTAAAATGTTTTAATTGTCATAAAATCGGTCACTTTTGTTCAAGTTGTAGTTGTATTGGGTGATGAAAGTTATGAGGATGTCGAAGCACTAGTAGTATCAAGTTTGGAAACTGAAGATGGTTGGATGATTGACTTAGGTTTCTCTCTTATCACATGTGTCCAAGAATAGAATACTTTAAAACTTTGAAGATGGTGCAAGGTGGAGTAGTTCTCCTTGGTAATAATAAGGCATGCAAGGTTCATGGTATTGGTACGGTCAGATTTAGAATGTTTAATGATTGTGAACTTCTTATTCACAATGTGAGGTATGTTCCATAACTCAAACAAAATTTGGTATCTATAAGTATGTTTGGTGATCTAGGTTATTGTACTAGAGTTGAACGTGGAGTGTTAAAGATTTCATGTGATGAATTGATTATTGCTAAAGGGTCTAAAATATATGATCTATATATTTTAGAAGGTTCAAATGTTATTATTCATTCATTGTTGACTAGTGGAGGCTTTCATGACAGTGACTAGCTATGAGATTTGAGTTTAAGGCGTTATGAATGCCTTGAGAAAGTTTCAGAGGAGTACAATAAATTTTGCAGAAATCAAGGGATACAAATGTATGTTACCGCTAAGTTGTTATTGAGTTTTTGGGGAAGAGCTGAGGTTAAAACAATTTACTTGGTTGGTAGAGAATTTCTTCAGAAGAAGAATAGTGAAAACCAAGGGAGAAACCTAGGAGAAACTATAAAGGAGAAAACTCAGTTTGAGGTGGAGTTTCCTACTATGGATGCTAGCAGTAGTGAGGGAACAGTTACAGAGATTTCTAATTATCATTTGACTCATGATAAGGTAAGGATGGTTATTGTAACATCTCGAAGGGACGATTATGCTAGCCTTGAATATTATGTTTTTAATGTGGTTGAAGAATTGCAAAATAAAAAAATAAAAACCTTCAGGGAGACATTTGAAAACAGATGGAGTCAAGGGTGGTTGAAAAATCATACTTGTAAGCTTGTTAAATTACCTAGGCAGAAAAGGGTGATTGGGAACAAGTGGATGCAAGTTGCAAGATCAAGATTCAGGGGTTGCTTAAATTTGATCAAATTTATTGATTAAAGTTTCAACTTGGTAGACAACAGCAAGGTTGTTGATTGTTAAATTGGTATCAACACAGTTTAAGCCAAGGTGGAGATTATTGTAAATGTGCCTTAAAATCTTTGTCGATGAAGAGAAAGAAAACATATTTTGGAGATTTCATTTACCGCGAAAATCAGAAGTTTTAGAAAGTCGGACAAAAAGTTGAAAAAGAAAAAAAAAATCGGTCGATGAATAATCTCGTCTGCACGGTGAATAGAACTATCTATACGGATGAATAGTGACGTCTGTACGGTAAATAGTGGTGTCCATACGGTGAATAGTAATTTTGAGTTTTTTTGGCTTTTTTCGATTCGGTCCATGGATCCATGTGATTTTGGGCTTTGTTTGTTGGGTATTTGCTATTATAAATATGTATCTCTTATATGTTTGGTGTGTAACAATCTTAGAGTTTTCACCAACAAGGGAGACCAAGGGTTTAAAGGTATAGCATAGGGTTTCAGCTATGCATAAAGAAAACTTGGATTACACATTGAGTTTAAGTGATTCATACATTGAAAGTTGGAGAGATAGGAAAACACTTGGTAGAAAATATGGTGCCTTCAGGGTTGTTCTTGAGAACCTGAAGGTGAAGGCTATTTTCTTGTAACTCATATATATATATAATCTCTTGTAACAACTTCCTGAGTATAGTGAATTGAAGAACTGCTATCTCCCTCAGAGTAGGTCGTTTGATCAAACTGGGTAAACAAACCTTCGGGTTTTTTCTTGCCCTATTTTGTTATATTATTTGTGTACGAATTATTATTGCTTAAGACCATTTATTTTAGTTTCTATTGTTCTTTATCTCACAAATTGATATTGAATTTTGTCGTAATTCACAACAAAATTCACAACAATTGTAATAATAAAAATTATTATTATTATTTTTGTAATAATAATAATAAAGCATTGGAATAATGTTTTTTTACAATGATAGACTATATACATATTTCTATTATTTTCCTATTATTATGTATAT